TTTATTCTGCAGGCTCGGCCCCATGTATGAGAGCCGCATGCATGCATGGCTACTTTCTAGATATATATATATATATATAGAGAGAGAGGATATAATAGGTAAATACATATATATATATATATATATACTGACTATATATGTATATTGGTGTGATCTCTGATTGTGTTTTGGATTCTTTCTTGCCAGAAATGGTCCCGTAGGGTCGCTTCGAGGCTTGCCGGCAATGTTCAACAAAAGATCTTTGGCGGCAGAAGATGTGCAGGCCGTTGCTCCTGCAAAACGATTCAGGTCCGAGATGGTCGACATATTTTTAAACAATGAGCTCAGTTCTGAGCGAAGTGCTCGAGTACTGTGTGCAAGACCTTCAGGTCCGCCTAGAGACTCGCAACACTCATCGGGATCTTTTGCGGAAATGTTTCCGAAACACGAAGTGGCCTTCGTTATATCATGCAAAGGTGCGTGGCTGGAATCAGGCGAAGAACAGTTGTGAAGAGTATTCCTTGGCAATTTTGCCGCCTCACGAATGCTTGCATACACTGCTCAAAGTAAACACTGCAGAGGTCTTGCTTCGACAGCAAGCCGAGATTTTGCCTGACAGGCCTGACCTAGAGAATCACTTGCATTTTTTGGAGAATGAGTTGGCCTTGGACTCTGAAAGCATGCCAAGCTGCCGACACGATGGCTGGCCCTTCAATAAAACCGCCTTCCACAGAAAACGCCTGGCAGGCCAAGAACTTCCACTCAGAGCTGCTCTCGCTGAATTTCGTACCGACCCGCTGTTACGCAGATGTGTTGAGCTTTCCTTCTTGGAGCTCGAAGGGCTTTACTTGTTGGAGGTGTATGTACCTCCGAGCTGATCTCAAAAAATTGATGCTCAGACTTTCGCGAAGCATCTGGGCTTATATAGATTGCTCTAGATTCAAGCTTATATCTTTGGTAGTCGTCTGGAAAATCAATATACATGTATCCTAGCAAATTATCTCATCGACTAATCCGAATGGAATGAAATCGACTTCTCGGAAGAAGTCATATTAGACAGTTCCAGTCGATCGGTTCCTGCCACTTGCTTTTGCCTCAGGTACTCTGTCATTTCCAGCTTTGTCCCAAGCTGCGATCGAAGCTTTCGGCTAAAAGCTAACGTACGACTTCTAGTGGAGCTGTCTGTGTCCCTCATTGCCTCTAGAAGCGGTGCTGAATCAAAATCGGGTGTTCAGGGTGTTGTCTAGGTGCTGTAACAGCGGCTAGATGGTAGTTGGGAGCGCCACGCATGCGAGTTGTCTGACTGGGACTGCGTGTGGTAACCGCCAACCGAGTAGAGGCCAAATTACGATGAGAATTGGTCGCTGTGGAACTGTGGTGGGGCTGCGGGCTGTGGGGCGGCTGCGGGGTGCGGCTGTGCGGCGGCTGTGGGGCGGCTGTAGGGTTGCGAGAGGCGGCTCGGCTGTGGGGCTGCGGGGCGACTGCGGAGCAGCTGCGAGGGAGCGGGGTGGCTGCTGCGGGGTGGGCGATTTCGAGCCGGTGGGGGGACACACCAGCCGAGAGGGAGGTGCACGAAAACACAAAAAACTGCGGAATTCGCGCTCTATCTTGAAATCCACTTTGGAGAAGTTTTGGCTTCTCAGACTTCTCGGAGCAGGCGCATGGACTTCCGCTTTCTGTATTTTACTTGCTGCGGCTTGCGGGAAAGTTCGATAACATATAAAATTTGAGTGCGCAACCTTTCCCAATGTTTAAATGTATCGTCTTTGCAGGTCTCACGATCAACACACTGGCCTTTGGAGGGTTGAGAACTCTGAAAGCGTGGACAAAGCCTCCAATGTTGGAAGCCTTGTTTTGACTTTGGTTTGTACAACCGCACGATTGTTGTTGTTTATTGTTTCGAGCTCTGCGACTTATAAAATTTGCGCAGAGTTTCTTTTTTTCCCATCTTTCCAGTGTTTTGGAGCCAGTTTTGTCAATGTACAATACCGGTACGGCGTGTTTTGTTATCCGCACCCATAGTGGGATATTAGCAAGCAATTCAATGAAGCATCTTTGATGCTAAGAAATAATGCTCATATAGTTGATGCCTTTTATGAACATACATTGGTTGTTTTGTTGATTTGTTGTTATTGGTTGGTTAAGTCAAGGTTTATGTTTTATCAGCACTTACAAACCTTGCCATTGGTGGTTCGTTCTTGCGGGCGTCGAGTCGAGCATATGTGTGTGTACTTATATACATACAACATCTACATCGACAGCTTGTTTGTGTGAGCCCTCAGCAATGACAATACTCACGAGTTTTTTCGACTTCGTCGGCTGGGAGCCTTCTCCGTCTCAAGGGCACGGCCTTCGTTATCATCCGAGTTGCGCGGCCAAGGAGTTGACAAGCCAATCTTGTAAGTTTTTATGTGCTCCAAGCCACAAACAAGCACACCACATCCGGTTCCCGAACTGCAAGCTTGAGTTGTCGAAAGACCAAACATCACAATGGAACAGTAAGAAGCGAACTTTTATCATGTACAGCAACACATGCATGTTTTGTTGAGCATCCTCGCGGAACAAGGCGACCAAGCTGCTCATTGAGATGGGGGTAATAGGTGGTTTAGGGTTCTTTCTCAGATTCGGGAATGCTTTTGGACAGAAGTATTGAGATAAGCTTTTCATATCGGTTGAAGCCGACAAAAGCCGCCGTGTTTCGGGGTGATGCCAAAGCTGTGACGCTGGGATGAGATGAAAACGCAACACGATGCAGAGTGCCCCATGGAATGGCCTCCCGCAAGACCTGAGCCTTGAAGTATAACGCCGATTACCCATAAACCTGGAGCACGAAAATGTTGTTTCATGCGCAGCCAGATTGTCTGCATTTTTCAAGTATTCGCCCTACAAACTTGAACATATTTGGACAAGTAATCCCGCGGTGGCCTCTGTAATTTGCAACAACAACACTGAGAGACAACCATGATCTCGCAGGTAATTGTGTTCGGAAGAGTATGGCTTTGGCTTGTTCTTGGGATTTTTGACTGTGACGATGATGGCGATTGTGACGATTATGACGATGATCATTGTGCTAGGTGGCGATCCGTGAGTTCTCCATCCTCTAAGACCCCCGGCTCGCATGAGTCAAGAGGCGGCCATGTCCCGCTACCTCGCCTCCACCTCGGTCACTGCGGGCACGCTGAGCCATGAGCTTTTGCCTGCGTTTGAGAGTCTGCGTGATTTGAATGTTTCCGGTTTGGGCGTTGGAGATGGAGGCATGCTTTTCGGGGCGTAAATGGTTCTTCAAATCACATGTAGTGGGTATGATAGAACATGGGTGGTCTGCATCTCATGAAGATTTTTGCTGTGAAGCTTGTTTAACCGAGGTCTCAAACTTCTGATTCGTCGGAAGCTGAAATTAAATATCTACCTTCGGCAGGTTTGCAGCCCTTGTTAAACAGGGCTCTGGACCTTCCATTGTGACTTGGCATCCTGAGTACACGGGCTGCGGTGACCGGTGCAACGTAGGTTCTGAAAAGATGTCAGCTAGCCTGAGCCGCAGTACTATTTTCCACTTGAGCCCTAAACAAGAACGGGTTTGCTTTGTAAGTCTGTGAAAAGGTAGAAAGTTGGGGGGCCCTAAACCCTAAACCCTAAACCCTAAACCCTAAACCCTAAACCGCTGAGCCCGGATCCGGCGATGTGGGGCGAAAGGAGAAGCTGCGGAAAAGCCCCTTCTTCGCAGAGTGCGACGACTCTTTCCTGACCACGCGGTATGCTCAGCACCGACGATGATGACTCTCCCGGATGTGTGCAGACCGGGTGCGGGTTTTCGTATTTAGTATAGGAATGGTAGGACTTGCAGGTATTTGAAGTAGCTGGGCTAATTGCCTGACATTTGGAAGCTGTCATTCAATGGTAGGATTAGGGTTGGCTGTTTTCTGTTTCGCGGTGTTTCCGATTGCACAGGCTGATCAAGCACTTGGTGGTGGAGTTGTTTACGACCAATGCCACTTTGAAAGCAATTTAAATCTAGATTCTGACGACAAGTGGGGTTCAACATGATTCAAGGCCGCTTGTGAGCCCATGATGTTCACATCTGTCGTCCGATTTGGGGGCCGCGCCGCATCTGAATCCTAAGGACATCATCATGGAAGAGGCTGGGTGGGGCTGCTGTTGACAAAGAGCCCTCCGGCCTGGTCAGTGAGGTCCAGCGATTTGCGACATGGGTTCGGCTGACTCGGCCATGTGCTGATGTCCTGAAAAGTCGGTGCATATGACCGTACATGCTAAGAAGTCGCCCCGAGAAGAGTTACTTCTTGGTTTCTTGATGCCCATGAGCAAGTTGAGCCGCAGCCACGGTTTTACTGCCACACCTCCATTTGCTGGCCAGGGGGAGGTTGCAGAGAAGATGTACTACCTCATGCGCGGGGCTTAGCAAACCTCGTAAGCGTGGCCGAGCCAGCGCGTTCCTAAACTGTCGTCTTCGTCATCAAGCAAACCCTCAAGGGGGACTAAGCCCTAAACCCTACAGTCTAAACCCTATACCCTCAACTTTGAAGTCTAGCTCCGGGGGTTTGCCGCTTAAGGCTCGATGCTCGCAGCCTTAGCCTGAGACGGGGAATAAAACCCTGAGACGTAAGGGTCTGAAGCTTTGCCGGTCCTAAAGCCAAGGCCCATGCCGCCAATATCACCGCCCACACCCAAGCTGTGTAGGGTTTAGTCATTGGCACGTAGACCTCAGAACAAGAGTGCGTCAAACCCTAGACATCTAGATACCCTAAAACTCGAAATCCCTAGCCCTTAAAACCCTAAAATCTTAAACCCCTAAATGTGTAGGCCGTAAACTCTCAACCCTAAACCCTAAACCCCAAAGCCCTGAAGCCCTAAACCCTGAACCCAACGAGACCGAACCAGCACAGAGGCTCGGGGAAGTGGAGATCCTCGTCGGCCACGATCGCGTGCGAGTTGCGAAGATTCAGGAGCTTTCTTTACGGGTTTAGGGTTTTAGGGGTTTAGGGTCTTAGGGTTGAGGGGTTTAGGGTTTAGGGGTTTTTAGGGTTTAGGGTTCAGGGGTTTAGGGTTTAGGGTTTTGGTCGGGGTCCGCAGTTTAGGGTTTTGTCAGGATCCGCAGTTTGGGGTTTAGGGTCTAGAGATTAGGGTTTAGTGTTTTCTCTGAAGGGCATCGGGGACTCGGGGTGGTGGAGCGGACGTTGTCTTCGTTCGGAGTCTTCGTGACGGCCCGCTGCCGGAGACAAGTAGAGACGATTTCCTCAAAGACAGATCGCGCTTGCCTGTCCCTTGAGATGTTGTACGCATACTCGACATTCACAATAGCAGTATCGGTAGTAGCTAGAACGATGTTCTTGGCGATCATGCTGGTATTAGTTCGCTGTAGTTGTTGAATCACTGCTTCATCAATAGGTGTGAGAAATGCATCGGTCCCTAAACCCTAAACCCTAAACCCTAATAGCTAGGAGTCCTATGAAGTGTCTCGAGTCCGGGCTGGGGACATGCACAGGTTCGCAGCCTCGAAGCAGGTTGTATCGACTTAGGAGACAGGGGTTACCGTCGTGCCGTAGCACATGACAAGTATCCGAGGATGGTTTCCCTGATTTGGGTCCTTGTTGGTTACAAGTTTACATTTTCGTTATAGTAAAACCCAATGAGGATTCAAAATGATCAATCTTAAAATAGCTCCAACAGGGAACCAGTGATGGGATTCTTGAGGCCACGGGTTCCTCTGTGCTACAGCACAGCAATCCCCTCCACTGAAAACGATAGATCTCCTGAACCTCATTTTTGCCTGCAAAATCCCAAACCCTACACCCCAAACCCAACCCTAAACCCTAAACCCTAAACCCTAAACCCTAAACCCTAAACCCTAAACCCTAAACCCTACACCCTAAACCCTACACCCCAAACCCCAAAACCCTAAACCCTGAGCCCGACATCCCCAAAGCCTCAACCCTAAAACCCTACAGCCTCCACTCTGCACCTGCAGGAAGGCACAGTTTTCGGTGAGATGGCTCCTCGGACCTTTTTGCGCTGAGGCTTTGAGGCTTTTGTAGAGTTTTTGCAGGGATTGATAGGCTTTTGGTTGGGTTCTTTTGATTTTCGGCGAAATAGGGTTTCCGCTTGCCGAGAAGTGGCTCCCTATGCGAAGATGACAAACAGGGGTCCAGGACAGATTTAGCGCGGTCGGAAGCCCATGGCCCGTGGTCTGTCTCTGTTCTGGAAGGGCGCGGGATAGTGTAGTAGTGTAGTGGACCCCTCACACAGTGATTGATGGCCCGTACCAGCTCCTCAGGAACATAACTTTCGGGTTTGAGATTTCGGGCTTCTAAAGCTTTGCATTTCGAGGGTTGGGATGTTCGTTTAGGGCTCTGTTTATATTGCTGGTCTTCTTGAGTTTGTTGGTTGCTGACTGCAGCAGACTTTTGCTGTCTGGGACGTGTGCGGTCTCCGACCATAAAGACAAAATGCTAGACCCCAAATACTGAACACATGCAAGAAATAATTTTCGGATCCTTGTGCCGACGTGCGAGGCCATGTTCAGCCATCTCTCGAATGGATTCGCAAGACGAAGTGCAGCCTGCTTGCATGTGGTTGTAAAAGTAAAACTAGATAGATTAAAGCCTCGTGACTACAGGGAAGTCCAGAGATCGATACAGAAATCATGCGAATGATGTGTATAGTCGATAATACGCAGACGACGAAGAAAGGTAACAACGTTCTAAACGGAAAGTGTTCCCTGGATATATCAAAGGGGGTGTGCCACTATCATGTTAATCTAATGTAAGTTACACTGCTCACGGCGACTCTGATGATGAGGAAAGCCCTGCAAAAAGAGCAAGAGAGCGTAAGCCGTCATTGCCGAGAGGGGCTGGCGACAACGGAATCTTCAAAGAGACTTATCTTGCCTGTTGCTGCCGTTGTCGATGTCTGTGCCGCCGCTTGCAGTTTTCACATGCCTTTTGGCCAGCTGCTAAGTTTGAACTTTCGATTTGAGGCCACCATCCGTGCAGTGAACTTCTGCGACACTCGTGCCTCTCTGGTGGCACTGAGCTGAAGCAATGACTAGTTGTTCCCCTACCCTTCAGCAGCCACGGAGCAATCTAGCGTCAGAGTTGCGAGCTTCAGGGTTCAAGCCGTATGGCTTCGTCAAGTGTGCGTGGGCCCAGTCCCAACAGGAGCAAGTTTCGCGGCATAAGTTCCCGCAATTCGGTCCCCGCGAGGATAGTCGTGGGAGGAGTTGCGGGTTGGGTTTGTCAGCCGTGTAGTGAGGTCATCAACAAGGACCGCTTCCATGCGATCTTGAAGCAGTGCCTTGGATGCCCGCATTCTGAGAAGGAGAGACGGAGGATGGGTGAGCGAGCAAGTAAGTTTGTGAGCAAGGGAGAGAGAGGGAGAGAGATAGACAGATTAGATAGACAGAGACAGACACATAGATGGCGAGGGGAGAGAGAGTGAGGCAGAGAGCAACAGCCAGGGAGAGAGGGATGGGGGATATATACATACATCTTTTTATGTATATATATATATAATATGTATATATACATAGTTGCACGTATTTCGAGAGAGGGGTCGAGAGACATGAGAGACAGAATGAAAATGCAGATAAAGACAGCTACCGAAACACCTTTTGAACAAGATATTTGCTGACCCTCCCTACACCCTAAACCCTAAACCCTAAACCCTAACCCTAAACCTAGTGCTGTGCTTTGGGGATATTGTAAGGAGAGTCTTCGTTGCAGCTCGCAGAAATCAGAGGGCCGACCATCTGACCGTAGGCGCCAGTGGGGCTATAAGCAGGACTTTGGGAAGCCGACCTGCCCATTCTAGTTCTGCGACCATTGCAGTCTGCCCTGGTTTGCAGAGCAAGGAATGCAGAAAGTCTTTCCAAAAGGATCCCATGACCAGATGATACACCAAGTGTGGGGTGAAATAACATGCGTTGCATGAGCACACCGCGGCAGCCATGTGCCGCAGTCAGCTCTCCAGCTCAGCAGTTGTGACGTGAGGCACCCAAATGAACGGGCACGATTCGAACGCATCGCGCAGGACCCGTCCTGATCCCGAAAGCCGGCAAGGGATTTTGTGGCTTGAGTGCTAGCCGTTCGGAGTTCGCGCAGGCTTCCTTGTGCTCAGGATCCACAAGGGTACGTACGCACACACACACAGACACATCATATAGCTCTTCTAGACTCTCCTTGCAACGACACCGCATCACCAAAAGGTCACTAAGCCTTCAAGCCTCAAGCGCCACTGCTACTACTGCTTCTACTACTACGACGACGACTGCTGCTACTACTACTACTACTACTACTACTACTCCTGCTGCTGCTACTACTACTACTACGACGAGGAGGACGACGACGACGACGACGACGACGACTACTACTACTACTACTACTACTACTGCTACTGCTACTGCTACTCCTACCAGTACTACCACTATTACATCAACAACAACCACTAACCACTGTTACAAGTGTTACTAGCAGCAGGAGCGTCGGGCGAGCTTGGAGAAGACGAAGTCCATCCTTCGACCGGAGGCCTTCGGGCCGTCGTAAGCTCTCCGTCTCGGACGGAACGGGGGGGGTGGGTTTAGGGTTTAGGGTTTAGGATCCTACTCTTCAGGAGTCAGGGTTTAAGGGTTAGGGTTCAGGCTTCTTTTCTGATGGGTTTTCCGTTTCTTCCTCCCTCGCTCACCATGATCATCACCATCATCATCTTCATGATGCTCCTCATTGCTATCTTGTTTGGTGTTCTTCGTCTTAGTCCACATTTCTCATTTCGGTCTGTGCCGCGCCCACCCGCTGACCCTCAACCCTAAACCCTTTCATATCTGTACACCTAAACCCTAAACAACCCCACCACCCACACCACATGTGGGGTGCGGGTGCAAACCCTAAACCCAACACGCACCACCACACCATAGGGAGGGGGGAAGGGGGTTAAACACTAAACCTGAAACCACCGCACCACACCACACCACAGACAGGGAGACGGCAGGGTTAAATAACCCAAAACCCACC